TTTTTGTTTGTTAAAATAAACAGAGAGGCTCTCTTGTCCATTTGTGCGATATTTTTAATTTGGTGGTTAAAATCTTTTGGGTAAAATATTCTTAAAGCATATTTGGTGCTTAATTAATTTCAATTCTCTTTATGATTATGTAACCTAACTAATCATTATTTTTCTTTTTCTTAATTAAAGGTTGATCAAGCCGTTTCAATGGCTTTTGGACAATCCCGAGCAACCAATTATGTTCGCGTGCAAGCCAACGGCATCATATCTAAAATGCATGGAGGCCCCCAAAACTCCAACGGCAAAAATAAGAACAAGATAGACATGTTGGCCTTGACAGAGGAAATGTTGTCACAGAAAAATGTGGAGTCCATATTATTCCAAGGTAAAAAAATGGTGAAATGCACAAATGTGGAGAAGCTAGAAATGTTTTCCGGGGAGCTGATTAAGGAGCAAGAGAGGAGAAAAACTTGTATTCTTCCAACCGTGGCGTTGAAGCAGACTTCTTCGTTATCACCCAGCAGAACATCGTCTGCCACAACCTTATCTATGTCGTCGTCATGTAATTAGGGCTTGAGTTATGTACGTAATATATGTTAAGCATTCACAGCCGCTCATGATGTATATATAAGATTAAGTGTCTGAATCTGAGCTGAGCTGAGCTGAGTTGCTAATGAGTTGAACATTTTGATATTTTTTTTGTATGCTTATTTGCTAGATAATTATGTAATTACGTTTTATGATAGAAGGATGTTTGCAGTGTGTATAGTATGGAGATAAGAAGAACGGATTTTTTATAGTTTGTATGTTTGATTCTGCAGGAGCCAATTTATATAATACACATTTAATTAATTATTTGCAGTTGTACTTTAGCTTTGGCTTTTGGTAGTGGGTGTGTTGAGGGGATTAACTTAATTTAAATTTAAGGGCTTTTTTGGTCAATAAATTGAGCCTTATGGGCCAGTTGCATAATGATGAAGAAAAAGCAAAATTTTTGTTTATCACCTTAACTTTTATTCAAATTTCAATTTGTTACCTCAGGAACAAAAACAAACTCGAAATAGAGTGTTACATTTTCTCCTTTTGGATTCAAATAGGCGCTTTCCTTCCTAAAAGATTAGCAACAATTGAAATGATTTGGAGGACCCCCTAAAGTCAAAAGGAGAAAAATGTTGCGTATTTAAGGTTGATCGTGAAAGGGCTGAAACAACCTTATATAAGAGGGGAGTATTTTTTCTCACCACCATTTAGTGTGGTGTATGCTCACCACCCTATTTATCATCATTAGATGAGTTTGAATTTCGAGATTCGTGTAGTAGATAAACACAAATCTCGAAATTCAAACTCATCTAATGGTGATAAATAAGGTGGTGAGCATAGACCACACTAAATGGTGGTGAGCAAAAATGCACTCATATAAGAGGTATGTGCAAGGTAGGTGATTCAATGTAAATGAGTATTTTCGTTTGGTGGAGATTTTGAATGAATTCATGGTAGGGGCAAACTAAAACAAAACATTTATTTATTTATTTTTTTATTTTTTGAGTTTGGTACTGTCTTTCAGGTAACAAATTGAAACTTGGATAATAGTTAAGGTGGCAAATAAAAAAAATCTCTCGCTGTTTTCTTTAAACTAAGTTACTTTGCCTTGCCAATCAGTACTTCACTTGTAAGTAAAATACTGATTGGCAAGGCAATTCGTTACCAAATTAAGATGACCATTGTGTGGTTTAGCCAAACTCTCCCTCCCCTTAATGTAAAATATATCGTTATACTAAAAAAAAAAAAATCATCATATGTTTTTCGGATTGGGCTGAGTTTTCTGGTTCCCCGTTTAATTTGCCCTAGTATTTTGGGCCTCTTACTTGTAGTAGCCCTTTAGAGTTTGGGCTTATTATGTAATTACCTTTTTCAACAAAATAAAAAGTAGTAAAATAAAGAAACTAGAATCTTTGTTTTGAAAAATCAAAACCAAATGTGGACGGATTGGATTTGAACAAGAGAACAGTACGACCACTCCAATTCTAAAAAGGAAACCGAACTAGGTCGGTTCGTTTGGTCGCCGACATTACTGTCGATGTAAATTCTAGTTCCACGAAAACTGGAAACCGCAAGACCTAAAACTACATAAAATTCAAAAGAACCGAGAGTTTACAGAAGAAGGCGGCAAGCTGCAATGTCAACTGCGGATGGCGATGTCTCAGAAAGCCTATCAGATATCGACGACTCCGAGTCCGAGGTATGCAGATAATGCGGGCATTGCTTTCATATTCTTTTTTTCAATTTTCTGAATTGTTTTCGTCGAATGGTGTCTGCCCATTATCCTTAAGTTGATAAATTTAAGGATGGTGCCCAAAATATTCGATGATAATAAGAATTAATTTTGCATGCTACGTTGTTGGACTTTTATTTCATAGTTATTGTGAAAAGTTCCGTTCTTGGTTCATGACGGTCGACCACATTTTCCATGTCTGATAATTAAGGGGGGAAAATTTAATGAAAGATAAAAGCAGAGATCCTGAAAGTTACACCCACCTGCCCATCAGCGAACACTTCCATCATAGCCCACTCGGTAGTCCGTATCGTGATTTGGATTCGTATGTGATTGTTGCTTCTATTTTTCGTTTGTGAATTTCGATATGGAAGAACTCATGCTTCTGTTTTTTAGGTTGCTGGGTACCTTAACAGCAAGGAGGCGGCACGGAAAAGAAAAGAAAAAGAGTGAGCAACAAGTGAATAAAAATGAAAACAACTGTGAGAGAGAGAGAGAGAGAGTGTTGTTTTGTAGTTTGTCATCTGTGATAAGAGGAGGAAGGGGGTGTTTGTGGGAAGTGAAGGTGTGATAATAGCCTACCGGAAGGGTAAGAACTGGAATAAAAGAAGGAAAATAAAGAGGTTTTGGAAGGTTGGGAGAGAGTTGAAAAGAAAGTGGTGAGAGCACTGAGAGGGAGTCGGTTAATGAGATAAAAAAAAGTGAGTTAGTGTGGGTAGAAGGGTTTTGAATCGGGATATTTTAGATGCGGTCCTTAATCCTTAATATTTTTTTATTAAAACTTTAATTGTATTTAAAATTTGATCAAGGTCCCTTGACTTTGTACACCTCATTATATTACTATTAATATTTATATTTTTATAGTTTTGACATTAATTGCTTGATATTTTATGAGATTTATAATCCTATAAATTTAAAATCTCTCATTATAATACTATTAGAAACGGTTATAATAAAAAAATTCAAACATTTTGACTGAATAAATGGATAAAAACTATTTAAAAATAAGAAATAATAAATGGTAAAAGAATGTATCCATAGTGTTAAAAAAATTGGTACATTTCACATATAACAAAGTGGTACACTAATAAAGAAGAATTGGTACATTAGAAATAAATTAGGGTACAGATAAAAGATTAAAAATTATGAATACAAATGAATTTTAAAAAATATAGGCGCTAAAAGAAATTAATACATGGATACAAAATAAAACTAAAAAGAAAATACAACAAATTTAAAAAAAAATGTTGCAAATTAAAAGTGGGTACAAACTAAAAATATAAGTATATGATACAAAGTTTAGGCATAAAACATAACCATACCATATGTAATTTTTCTATCATTGATTAAATATACAATGTCACATGACGGTATACACATGGGTACAAACATAAATAAAATTTTTAAAAATATGGGCACAAAAAGAAACTAATATATGGGTACAAATTAAAAATGAAAAGAAAATTGGTACAAATTAAAAAATATTTGCAAATTAAAAATAGGTACAAACTAAAAATAAAAATATATGATAAAAAATTTAGCCATAAATATAAATATACTAATTGTAACATTTTTTACATTAAAGGAATATATTTAAAAATAAAAATATTTTATTATTCAAATAATTAATGATGTTATTAATACCCAAGGACCTTAATCAAAAATTGAAAATAAATAGGATTTTAATCAATAAAGTAACAAAAAGAAGGATGTGAACCTAATTTTCCATTTTGAATCTGATCCACACTAAAAATAAAGAACATGAAAGGAGAAATACACGAAAGAGTTAAAATTGGAATAATGAAATTTTAAGGAGAACATCATGATGGTAAGATAATTTTTTACCTACTTCGCTTTAATTCTTACTCTTATCATTTTATTTGACGTGAATGATGCTTTGTGTGTTTGGATTGCTAAATGAATTATTATTTTACACTTTACATTTGCATGATTATAGCATGAGATATTGGCTTTGATATGTTGCTTCACATGTGCATAAGCATTCATGCAAAGCAAGACAAAGAGTTGAAAGATCTCATCTATAAATATCCAAGCTACTAGGTTCCCTCCAAAGACATATAATGCATATCTGATATCTCATCTAAAACATACATGCTCAAATACATCTCTACATGCTCATGCAACTCATGCATGGAACTACACGCGATTTGATTCTCCCTCTTTGACGAGGAAATATGTAGGCGATCATTTTTTAATTTAGTTACATCCTCCAAGCAATTCTCCTATTTATCGGTGTTCAAGAGATTCCAACAATTATTCGTATATCAACGGTTGTGCTCGAATTTGATTCCAACAGTAGGAATAGTAATGTGTTTCTACAATGTAAAATGTAATGCATGCCGTTTGTGTTTACCGCATGGTTTTGTTTACCAAAAAAATCCACATGGTTTTCAGATTGGGCTGAGTTTTTCTAGTTTCCTGGTTAATTTTCCCTACTATTTTGGGCCTAGCACTGTAGATTTTGGACTGTTATTCTGGAATTATCTTTTTTTCATTAAAATAAAAGAAAAATTAAAGAAAATAGCTTCATAATTTTGAATTTTAACCAAAAATCACCTACTAACTTTATTTAATGGTTTGGACAAACCCAACATTAAATCAGCCCAATTAAAACTGGCCCTAACAATGAGTTTCCGATTTTACCCTGCAACACCATCTTCCGTTTATTTAATCTGTTTCACTTGAGATGAAATAAAAGAAACTTTTGTACGGTTTCTACAAGTTTCTACAGATCTCATTTCATTTTCTCTATGCTATTTTCTCAATTTATAATTTTGATCTGATCGTCTACAATGAAGATGACCCCACCCTTGTGATCCATGAGGAAGTCAAGGCCAAGAAGAGTTCGAGAAGTTCGGAACACTCCCGACCAGTCTTCCACTGATAACTAGAAGTTTGAGCGAGTTCTGGCAATCATCAGAGATAGCTTAAAGATGGACTCGAGGTACCTGTAAATTTGGTTTTGAATTTGTGAAAAAGTATGGATTTGTTTTTCTCTATTTATTTTCTGCATATTTGGGGACTTCTAGGTGTGATTATGTTGACTATTTCTGGGCTTTTGCAATATTTTACTCATATCTTTTTCAAGTGATTTTTTAAGAATATGAAATGATTAAGTGTTTGGAGTTTTCTGGTTGCTTTTGATTTGTAGAACTTTTATTGTTTAAATTAATAAATGAATTATTTTTTAAATGTAAAGATTTGTTGGTTTGCAGTAGAATTGAACATTTGAATCTGTTTTCACAGCTTGCTGCAAGAGAAGATAAATATGCAAGTCAAATTTGCAATCAAGAACGATGTCACCGAAGTACCATTTTTCTTCATGAAACTTAAGCATTCAATTTTTATTTTGTTTTATATTTTGATTTGGCCTATGATGCACTGTCATTGTCCTCTTGATTCCTGCAGCTGATTGATATCTCAACAATATTTGTTGTGGATGGTTGCGTAGCACGAATTGCTGCCAAGCTAGAGTCAATGGAACTCTGCGCTAGTGTAAAAGGCAGGCATATTCTTTGCACTTTTCCCAAAGGATATTGATTTTGTTGTCCTTGTACGAAAGAAATCAATACTCAAGGTTCATACACATTTGATCTTGAATTTGTATATGCAGGAGTGAATATTGTATGATCAAGGTTTTTAATTTTCCTAGTTAAAAAAATAGTTATAAAACTCGTGTTTAGTCTTCAGAAATACTCAGTTTTTAGTTTCAGATATAGTTTAGTATTTGTGCTCAGTTTCAGAAATAGTGCAGTATCTGTGTTTAGTTTCGGAAATAGTTAGTGATCAATTTAAGAAATAATGATAGTACCAGTATTCAGTTTAAAAAATAGTGATAGTACTCATAGTCAATATTTAGAAATAGTAAGTGTTTAGTTTCAAAAACAGTGTAATACTCGTGTTTAGTTTAAAAATAGTTAGTGATCAGTTTAAAAAAATGAAGTGTTATTGGCACTTCAAAATTCTCATTTTACATTTCTCACATATGTATTTTTCTTTCCTAATATAAAAAGTTTGGAGTATAGAATGAGATTTTTAGAGTGCTAATAACAATTTCCTTAAAAAATAATGATAGTATCATTACTTATAAATAGTGATAGTACCCGTGTTCAGTCTCATAAATAGTGAATGTTTAGTTTTAGAAATAGTGTAGTAGCTGTGTTTAGTTTCATAAATAGGTAGAAATTAGTTTCATAACTACTATAGTAACCATGTTCATTTTTTATAATAATGACACACCCCGTCCCGAAGGAGGGCATGCTGGCCGTCACGTGAGAGTGACGTAACCATTTGCACAGTACGGAAGCTTTAAGATACAATTTAAATTGATACACCCGAAGGTGAGTCCTAATTTTGTCCAATCTGTCAGAACACCGTCGAATTCCTCGTAGTCACCACACCTTTGTGATTCCTGAACCTGGAGGGGCGCAAAACCAAAATTGAGTGGGTCAGTAAAACAATTCTTTTCCAAATCCAAACATTTCTCAAAACGTTGTAACCCCTCTCCGTAAAACCTGTATACTTTCCCAGAAATGTAAAATATAAATATACATATATATTCTCAAAACTTCATTTTTACTATCTCAACATTATCTCTTTATCAATCATGCCATGCCATGTCATCTCAACATTTCTCATATTAATTATGCCATGCCACATCATCTCAACAGTAATAAGGTATGAATGCATCAACATAATCATATCAGGTGCAAGAAAGTAATCAACCGTAGGCCCTCTAATAGCCCTATACGGTTGAACCTAAAGCTCAAAATCTATCATTATCACTCTACCGGAGTCACCTCTGTGACCCGTCCGGCCTTCTGCACACAAGTTACGCTCTAGTGCTTCTCATAAATCATCTGTGCACATAATCTAAGGTCACCCACCAGCCGGAATCTCACTAACACACTCTCGCGACTGGTCTGTCGTACCCACTCCGCGTGGACTGTACGACTAGCATCTACTTGGATCCAAGGCGAGCGTGCGATGCGGTGAATACTATAAGCACTAAACCATGGTGCAGGATTTGAGCTCAATATATATCATCATCATCATCATAACAGTAATTAAATACTCATCTGTGCGTCCACCGCACCATTTCATACATATGCATCATAAATCAATTCTTACCTGTGCGTCCACCGCACCAATTCATACATATGCATCATATATTAATTCATGCATGACATTTCAACTCACATTTCTATATACTTTTCATATCAATTCTATGCATGGTATTTCACTTCCCGTTTTTCCACATAACTCATATGCATTTCATTTTAAACATAATTTCATGCATTTTCAATTTCTGGGAAAACGTTAAGTATATATATATATATATACGGAAAACAAAACTGCCCACTCACCTGGAGTTCGCCCTACACTCCCTAGCACAATACGCCAAGGCGTCATGACGATCGGCGCCTAAAACAATAATCAATTCCAACCTCAGAATTCATATCGATAGAATATATAACTTATATAAAATACGTCACTACGTAGATTGATCCGGAAGATCCACCCCTCAGATTTTAAATCCATAACTTCCAGAGGTCCACATTATACCTCTAGGACAACATCCTAAAATTTCATTACCATCCAACGGTCGGATCATCAATTCACATTTTCACCTAAATGTGAAAACTATAAAACGTTATTTGAACACCTAACCAACAATCTTCAATAACTTTCTCATACGGTGTTCAATTTAGGTATATGAATATACCACAGTGATCTACTCGACGTCACGGACGTCGACATATTTTTAAAATAATTTTATTTTTATTTTTTATTTTTACTGTAGCACCTTCTTCTTCCTTGGGTCGCCGGACTGGTTTTTTCCGGCGGCCGTTTTCTGGGCAGTTTTTCAAATTGCCATAACTTTGTCATTTCTCAACGAAATCAAGTGATTCAAAAACGAAAGTTGTAGCCCTTGAAGAGACAAAGAGAATGGTACCTTTCCCAACACCTAGTTAGCCGTAGTTTGGCCGGAAACTGCCTCGAAAGCCTCGGAGGTCGCCGGAAACTGGGTATTTTTCAAATGAGTATAACTTCTTCAATACTCAACGAAATTGAGTGAAACAAAAAGGAAAGTTGTAGTACTTGACGAGACGAAGAGATTGATACCTACCTCGACGCCTAACTCGCCGGGGATTCGTCGGAAAATGCCTCGAAAGCTCCGGCCAAACTTTGAACTTATCGATCTCCGTGTTCTTACGTCCAAAAAACTTCCAACGAAGCACTCCGAGCTTCCTTGGAACCTCACTAAGCTCACTGTGAGCTTGGATTGTCCTAAAACAAAGTCAATTCGAAGATCATGAACAGTGCACTTTCACGGGGAGTTTAGAAATCTAGGTTTTCCCGAAGTAAAACTTACCTGAAATTGGTGTCTACGTGATCGTGGAGTCTCCAGGAGTTCGATGGTGGTCTTAACTCCGTCGTTGGTGGAAGTTTAAGGTTGTTTTGTGGTTGGTTTTGTTCGAACGGAGAAGAAGAGTGACAGAGAGAGAGAGATTCGTGAGGGAGGAGAGAGAGAGAGACAGTATGCAGAAAATAGGGAGAGGATTGAGGGGTGTGGGGATCCCACGTGTCCAACTCAATCCAAATTGTTAAATTTTCGCCCCTTAGTCCGTTTAAGGGCATTTTCGTCTTTTCATGTCCTCGGAATTAAAATTCCGGGACGGGCTGTGACAATCTTCCCTCCTTATAGAATTTCGTCCCCGAAATTCCAGCAACCAACTAAATCAACCATACTCCAACAATAGCTTCGGGTAAATCTTTCTCATCCGATTCTCTTTCTCCCACATACTTTTCTACTGAATGATTTCCTTCACAAAGCTTTTACTACTTACTCTGTCTTAATTCTCAGGACCTTCTTTTTCCAATCCAAAGTCGTCCTTGATTCCTTATCAAGTCGAATCCAATTTAATTCTCAATAGTTACACCAGAATCTCATGTGACGAATCTGCCACCTAGTGACAACGCATCGAATCATAAAATATGTTTTTGCACCTTAACCAATTCTGAGGGCATCACAAGCTTGTAAGCAACTTCACCAAACTTTTCGATAATCACACTTAAGTCCGATTAACTTAGGATTTAACTTACCTTCTTTCTCTACCTTGGTTAATTCTTAAATTTCTTCGTCAAGCATTTAAGTTTCAAGTACGACCTTACCAAACAGGCCTAACTTGAAATTTAACAAGTATAACTTCTTCTCGATCTTCCATTCTTAATTTTTCTTCCGTTGGTTTTCAATCCACAAGATGATACTCTTGGCAAACGTGCCAGACATTAATCTTACTGTAGTCTTCTCACCAAGTGCTTCAGTTAGAACAAACTTTACGATCACCCTGATCGTACAATCATGTTCATTAAGCAATACAATTCACTTTCGCTGCCTCATATCAAAATCCTTCCAAGTAATGGATATTGAAGACTTTTTGGATTAGTAAAAATCTTGCATTCTTACCAAATATAATGCCTTCATAACTTCACAGCAAGAATGGTAATCATGATTTCTAAGTCACCCGTAGGGTAATTCATCTTATGAGATTCCATTTATCGTGAAACGTATGCCAATCACCCTAACATTTGCATCAACATGCATCCAATACCATTCAAGAAACATCACTAAAAAATTTATGATTACCACTATTCTCTGGGAATACCAAAATACGTGCATGAGTGAGGAAATACTTCAGTTGTTGAATCCTTTGCTCACAATTTCCTTCCCACTCATACATAACCTCTTTTCTCAACAGTCTCGTCAATGACAAAGCAATGACTGAAAAATCTTTCACAACCATCCAAGATAGCCTGGTAAGCTAAGAAATTCTGAATCTCAATTACAGCTCGTGGTTGTTCCAATTTCTCAATTTCTGCTATCTTTTAAGGATTCACTTGAATACCTTAAGAATATATAACAAATCTCAGAATGCCACCTGATTCGTCTAACTTTAGCATTTGCTACTTAGCATACAACCAACGTTCTCTCAATCTTTGGTTCACCGACTTAATACGTTTACATGCTCTGCTCTGGCTCAGAATATGCCAGAATATCTTCAATAAAAATGATATCAATCTATCAAGGCATTATTGGAATACTTCATCCATCAACTCATAAAACAGCATGAGTATCCACATAGCATCACCAAACTTCATAAGGACCATAACAAGTCCAGAAAACCATCTTATGATCAACGTCACTTATAATATTCAATTGGTAGTAACCAGATCTCAATTCAATCTTTGAATCTTCGCAATTACTTCTGAGCTGGTTAAATAAACATCAGTACATTACCATGGATAACGGTTCTTAATCGTTACCCGACTCCATTGTCTATAATCAATGAACAATCTCTAAGTCCATTTTCTCTTCCTCACCAACAAACTGGGGCTCCTCAAAAATGTTGTACTAGGTTGAATGAAACTTTTATCAACCAATTCTTTCAACTGAATTTCCAATTCCCTTAACTCATCCTGAACCAATCTTTAACATAGATTTATACCTGGCAACAAATCAATAGTGAACCTCATATCTCTGCCTGAAGGCAATCCAGGTATACTTTCAGGGAAGACATCAAGAAAAGTCTAACCCCTTTTTGACATTATTCACACTACTCCAAACAACATCATTTAGCACCACACGAGCTAATATTTTTGACAGCCTTTC